TCAAATGGTCTTCCTCTTTATTTAAGTGAATCTTAGGTCCTTGACCCCATGAGAGCAGTCACAGGCACTTTAAAGTACTGAGCAGTGAGATCTTAATGCACTGTCCAGTAACAGCAGTTTCTTCCAAGCTATTCAGGGCATTGTTCAGCATAGCAGAGTTCTCATAAAATGCTCCATACCAAGCAGTTATCTTCCTGCTCCTTTTGGATGTACCCTCCAGTAAGGCAAGCTATCTTCCCTAGGCCTTCAGTGAAGGCCCCCAGATGATTTAAATGTGGCATCAACATCATCAGGCCTCAGCCCAGAAGAGCAGAGAAAGACCTTCCTGGACGTTTGCACCAAATTTTATTATCTATCCCAAGCCCATACAACTGGATCAAAACCCTCAGTGATTTGCTAAGACAGATAAATATTCATAACTTATGTATTGTTACTTCTCATACTAACTACTGGAGACACCTCAAGAACAGCAAACAAAAATAATCAATTTTGTGAGCTTAGGAAGAACCTGCCGAGTGCAGAAAATGTAAACAAAGCTCAGGCTGATCACAGTCTAGCTGTAGAAAGCATATATGTTGCTGTACAGGTTACCATTTTAAAGGATAAGTTCACCTTTTAGTAACAAAAAATGAATGCACATTTTTTGCAGTTAAAAAATGTGCATTTATTATTTTTGTCTGCAGGAACCTGTAAAGCATTGCACTAGCGATTTGCAGATCGCTGGTGCCATGCAGGTCTCCTGCAGATATACTGACCGGAAGAATCAATGAACTACCAAGGTGCTTCATAGTGCCTTGGTAGTTCACTGAGCCCTACAAGGACTTGTAGTCTCTCATTCAAAGAATGCTGTGAATGAGTGGCATGGCCGGGCAGTCGGAGCCCCTCCCGGGTATGTTTTTTTTTTAAATTTGCACATCTAGCGGGGGGGTGTCAAAGCAGGGATCAGGGAGAGCGGGGGTTGGTCAGATCGTAACATGTTACATGTTACACCTGAATATGGGTGTAACATGTAACATGTTACAAAAGGTGAACTTAACCTTTATATTATTTGGGCATAGTGAAATCCATTTGCCACCATAGCACACACTTTGTGAGTCTAGAGCAGTCATATTATTTTACTGTTAGTCTTCATGTTTCTAAAGTCTTACTTAAACATTGCTTACACTATACTACCTTACACTACCTAAACAACATAACTAATGACACATATACTTAAAGGGTAAGTTCACCTTTCATAATTTGTTACATGTTATACCCATATTCAGGGCAATAAGTTATGAATGGAGCCCCCCCCCCCCCCGAACCCCCGTTTTGACAGCTAGCGGGGATCTTCTCACCCCGCCAGCTGTCAAAATTTAAAAAAAAACCACATCAGTGCAGGGCTCCACCCTTTTGTTGAAAGGTAAACGTATACTTTAAATAAACACCTCATTAAAAATTAATCATTTAAGGATTGGACAAACTTTGCCAATATAACATATTTATGTACTAGCATGAGAGTTATTTTTTCATTTAGTATGCACCGCCAGAAAGCCCACCTTTGCACATGAAAACCATTAAAAGGGGTTGTATAGAAAAACTACTGATAGTAACAGAAGATTGACATAATAATACAGACTATTGTACTATAAAAATTGTGTTAAAATACATACAAATATGAAAGTCTACTAAAACATGGCACAAAATTCAAACTCCACAACAGCTGGAGAGCTACAGGCTGACATTCCTACTCTTGATAGTACTGTAATGAGCCCTTCATACAGTATTTCTTTGTTGCAAGGAAATATGTACTTTTTTTCAAGACCTCATTTATGTGTAGGCATGGCTGGGAGTCTTAATCCAACATCAGATAGTTATTCTCAGACAACACTAATAGCTCCTTCAAATATTTCTCAGTTATGCTTCAGATAAGAGTGTTGAACACATAAATTCATTAGTGAGTAATAGAGGAACCTTGCATTATCTCTGTCTCTTTCTAGTGGATTTTTTCCATATAGTGCCAGGAGTCATATATCACAGCGTCTGTGTCTCTTGAGCCAGTTAAAAGAAAGCGCAGAAAAACTGCTGTTAACAAGGGAATAATTACATAGGGCAAAAATTAATTATTAGTCACTTAGGAATGGTGGGAAAGGGCCACACAGACTGTGGGTACTCTCTTTCTCCACATTTCAGGAAATAGATAATCAAAAGTATATCACACGACAAAGTACAAGGACTCTTTATGATATAACAGTCTTTTCCTTCACGTATTACCTAATGCGCCATGTAGATTATTTACTTTAACACATTAGGTACATTGTATTATGATGAAAAACATGAAAGCTAGCCCCATGGGAGAAGATCATTCTTTGGAAGTCAGTCTTACTCCTGGCAAAGTCAAGTCAACAGGGACCTTGAAATAAATTTAAACCAAAAGAACAGTTCATGGATCAGTGAGCATGTGATAGAAGGCTTTCATGAGGAATTTAGCTTACCACACAGTGAAAATAAACCTTGGAAACAGCAGTCAATTGGCAAAATATTGACAGCTGTAAATAGCAATAACCTTGTAAAAAAATGTTTAACTGTATTTTCTGTATTCGTTTTAAGGTAACTTTTAAATTATACCATTTTTTCAAATTGCCTGGTTTGAAATTTAAGGCAAACTGTTCTTATTATAAATAATTTGTGATACCTCACCTGGACCTAGCTTGTAGGTAGGTTGAAGTATGTGCTAGTTAGGTGCTGTCCAGACAGGAGGGTAAGGGTTAATGTCTTTCCCGGTTATTTAGATTGGATGGGTAATCCCTAGGTCTGACCCACTGATCCTGTGATATAAAAAAGGATATAAAAAGGAACAGTGGTCCAGAGTGAGGGAGAAGGGGAGAAAAAGAAGAAGATCAAGGAGCATCACCTGGGAGGAGTAAAGAAGAATGTCGCCTGCTATTGCTGTAATGTAGAAGGTCCTCTGTACCTGGGGTTCGCCCTCCAAGATACCAGCTACTGGAAGATGCCACTGATAGACTCCTGTCTGTACATGGATCTTTTGCAAGTATGCCAGGGCAGCACATAGCCTGAGTTATGAGTAGGGACATAGGGATATTTCTGTTTTTGTGTGTTGGACTTTGAGATGTTCATTCTGCACTTTTCAAAGAAAAGCTTTGAAACCTTGTTCCCGCCTGGTCTGAAGTTACTTAAGAGGTGTAATGCAAGTAGCCAACTCATGTGGTCTGCAGTTTGGGTTATTTAACTGATTGGAATATGAATACAGCTTCATATGAGTGAACACAGTGTGGAGTGCTGCAAATGGTTACCTAGGGAAATGGAAGTTCAACAAGCAGCCTATCATTAAGCGTGTGCCTGACTTAGCTGGTTCCATTGTGCCTGCCTCCAATACTTGTTAGTGTGGATACTTATTTGATCCAAAGCCCAGGTATTATGTTGCCCAGTGTTGCACTGTACCAACTAATTTGGAACCGCTTAAGTGGCCTCTCAAACCACTGTCTTTATCCACTGAAAATTCAATTAAAGAACACTGACAACAACTGGAAGAATTATTAAACAGACATTCTATTATATTTTCCAAGCACAGTAATGACTTTGGGTGCTCTGACATTTGGAGCATCCAGTACTTGCAGGAGATTCATCTCCCATCCAGGTGCACTATAGAAATATTCAACCTGCTTTGTAATAGGAGATGAAAGCTCCCCTCTACAAGATGCTTGACAGAGGGGTAATATATTGGGGTTATAGCCCCTGGGCAAGTCTGATAGTTTGTAAATTAGATGGGAAGCTATGGTTTTAAGTAGACTATCAGAAACTAAATGCTTTTATATTTTTGATGCTTACCCATTGACTAGAGTGGAGGAATCCCTCAATGCTCTGGGCCATGCTAGCGTATTTTTTACTCTAGACCTTGCCAGTGGGTATGGCAGGTCCCAGTAAGGGAAGAAGACTGTCACAAGACTGTTATGACACCAAAGGGATTGTATGAATTTAACAGAATGCCCTTTGGATTGACAAACATTCCAATCACAGGTGAAGTGTCTTGGTAACCTCATCTTTGACTTGAGACTGAGAAATGCATTCAAAGACTGAGAAATGCATTCAAAGTCTGAATAGGTCAAAGACCACAATATTCAGAATAAGGCAGCACCCCGCATCTCTGAAGAGCAGCGCGTTTTGGCTGCTTTGGGTGGTGGGTGTGGGAACAGCTGCACCCGCAATCACCCACTAAAAGCCCCGATGATGAAGTTATGACTCTCCTATTTTGGTCACACTGTCAGAAGAGATAGATCACTGTAGAAGGAATAATGTTTGGGAAGATTGAAGGAACCAGGTGAAGAGGGGGACCAGCTACTAGATGGTTGGACACATTGACCACAGCTGTGAGGGTGACACTGAAAGATCTTGCAAGACTATCACAAAATCAACTTCTCTTTAGATCTTTCATTCATCAAATCGCACTTAACACATAATGATATGGCAAATTATTTTTCATTCCAAGGACAGTACAAAGGTCAAAGAAAAATCAATGGCATATGGAAGAAGGAAAACTTTAGGAAAATTCTGAGTTGTCAGCAGAACAAGAAGAGGGGAAAGCTTACAAATGAGAACACATTAGTTTCTAAATGTTAAAGTGGAATTCCAGCCCATTTTGTGTTTATTAAAAGTCAGCATCTACAAAAATTGTAGCTGCTGACTTTTATTAACCACTTGGTAACTGTGCTATAGCTGAATGACAGCTACAGCGCAGTTACCCAGTTCTGGAAGGGCGTCATATGACTTCCTCCCAGAACGCGCCCTCCTGCGCGCCCCCATGGGCGATCTCCATGATCGTTGTGTCCTATGGACACAGCTGATCATGTGATGAGATAAAAGGCCAATCACAGCGGCCTTTTACCACATGATCAGCTGTGTTCATTGACACAGCAGATCACGGGGTAAATACAGTTGCCGGTTATCGGCAACACTTTCCTCTGCAACACTTTCCTGCAGTGCCCCCCAGCAGTGCCACCCACCAGTGCCCATCAGTGCCTCCCATCAGTGCCCAGCAGTGCCTCCCACCAGTGCCCATCAGTGCCCCCCAGCAGTACCTCCCATCAGTACCCAGCAGTGCCACCCAGCAGTGCCCATCAGTGCCACACATCAGTGCCACCTATCAGTGCCCAGAAGTGCCTCCAGTCAGTGGCATCAGCCAGTGCCGTCAGTCATCGTTGCCCATCAGTGTCGCCTATTAGTGCCCATCAGTGCCGCCTATCAGTGCAGCATCATCTGTGCCACCTCATCAATGCCCACCCATGTCGCCTCATCAGTGCAGCCTATCAGTGCCACCCAGCAGTGCCCATCAGTGCCACCCATCAGTGCCACCTATCAGTGCCCAGCAGTGCCTCCATTCAGTGGCATCAGTCAGTGCTGTCAGTCAGCGCCGCCCGTAAGTGTTGCCTATCAGTGCCCATCAGTGCCACCTATCAGTGCAGCATCATCAGTGTCTCCTCATCAATGCCCACCAGTGTCGCCTCATCAGTGCTGCCTATCAGTGCAGCCTCATCAACGCACATCAGTGAAGGAGAAAAACTACCTGTTTGCAAAGTTTTATAATAGAAACAAAAGAAAAACTTTTTTTTTTTCAGTTTTTGCTCTTTTTGTGTTTATAGCGCAAAAAATAAAACACCCAGTGGTGATTAATTACCACCAAAAGAAAGCTCTATTTGTGTGAAAAAGATTATAAAAATGTCATATGGGTACAATGTTGCATGACTGCGCAATTGTCATTCAAAGTGCGACAGCACTGAAAGCTGAAAATTGGCCTGGGCACGAAGGAGGTATAAGTGCCCAGTAGGCAAGTGGTTAAAACACACACCCACCTGTCCCAGGGTCCAGCAATGTGCTCACCAGCACAGTCCCTTCTCTCCTTCGGTCCTCCATGGTGCGTTGTTGCCGGCATTTCTACTGTGGGCACCAAGTTGTGACAGCTTCACAGCCTGGTGCCCACTGAGCATGCGTGAGTCGCACTGCACCTCTTGATTGGTTTGGCAGTCTCCTGGGACCTGTGAAAGTTCCCATGAGACTGCAGGAGCAAGGAGGGGGCTGAACTTCTCGGTCACTTAGCTGCGGCGAACTGAGCCGGAAGTGGGAGTGGGTGCCTGTCAAAACCAGGTACTCACTCCTCCCTCCCCCCCAAAAGGTGCCAAATATGGCAGTGGAGGGGGGAGGAAGCAAATAAGCAGAGTTTCTACTTTTGAGTGGAACTCCGCTTTAATATAGAAATATTTTGTTTCAGAGAATTGAACTGGCTGCTCTTGTGGAGTCCAAAAAGGATTTATTTTTGGTCCTGTGTGGCAAACTCCACAACACAAACCCAGGGGGTTTGCATTGCCTTCTTCTGGACCAAAACTTGTAAACTTAATGGGATCTTTTTTCAGCTTATGTACATAAGTAACAAATGTTCTTTTGTTTTATTAGCATTTCAGCATTGTTTAGATTTCAGCGAATGCCTAATTTTCCTGTAAATAATTCCTTCAGTCAGTTTCATCGTCTCTTATTAAGGGCTTTATTTATGAGTACAATCAATAGGAAAATGACTAATACTTGTTTTCTAAGGCCACCATTCAGCTAAGTTTGCTTCTTTTAATTCAAGAAAACTGAGCCGCTTGCTATAGCCATGTGTTTTTAAATTTCAGTATAGTCATCTTAGACTTCCTTATTTGATTGCCAAATTGACATCTTAGTAGGTTGTCGTGCAAACATGGCTCTTAGTGAATGATGTATCAAACTCCATTAAAATGAACAGGTTTTCTGTGTTATCAATCAACAGTGTATGGTTTATTAAAACAAGTATAAGTGATTATAAGATGTAGCATACTGTATACCTCATGGAAATTTATCATGATTTTTAAGTGAGTACCAGGCTTAAACTGAAAAATGCAAAGAAATACGTTCATATCTGATGTGCTGTTGTGGGTTGATCCTTGATCATTATAGTAACAAATGTGGTGCCTGACCCCTGTTCTTCTCACCAACTCGTGACAAAGGACTGTGCTGTCACATAACAGTGCCACTTTCAACTGCACCTTGCACAAAGATTTTCCAGCTCGCAGGGCCACAATCTAAGTGCCAGCAGCCTGAGAGCAATTGGCACTGGGTTAACTAAGTAATTAACTCTTTAGGCTACCACCACCACCACCTTTTGACTGAGAAGGAGGAAACTCACTCACTCTTAGCAATAACTACTATGATTTTAGAATAAATATCTCTAACACTCACTGTCACCGCAGACAGGTATATTCAGAGGATTTATACTACAGTAGCTATCTTTAAGAGACAGGTATTTTTTTTTAGTTTGCATTAGCACATTTTGAGACAATTTCAACACTTTTCAAAATAGGGTTTAATAATGAAAAGGTCAAAATGGTGTAAATAATATATTTACAAAAACAAAGATATTGCAAAGTAATAAAGAGAACAAGCAACAGCAAGACAAGAGGTGAAACAAAAAGTTCAGTCAAGGGTGAGAAAGGCGTTATCGGCTCTCATAACGTCACAAATGTTCCTTGATTGATGGTACATGAGAGGTTGTCAAACTGTCGTGGCATTCGCTTTTTCTGTGATATCAAAGACGTGTTGATAAAGACCATCTGACCAATTAAGCGGCTGAGGAGGGGCTATTGGGCCATGTTTATGACTGTTTCATGGCCCTCCTTTACACACAGCTTTATACTAACATTCATATCTTCCAAAACATACAAATTGCATTCTGGAGACTGGTAGATTTTTGTTCAGCATTATATTTCATGTCCAGGTATGCTAAACACAGAGTATTTTAGATGGGCCTGTCACCCAGGAGCTATCTGACTGCTGTCTTACCTTCGGTATACTATAGCTTAGCCATGTATGATCTCAATTTTTTCAGTATGATATATTCCATTCAAATATATACTTAACCATTATCCACCCGGCCAATGGCCGTTTAGCGGCTTCAGATGTGTATCTGCATTCCGGGTGCACGCCATTTGGCGTGCTCCCGCACATGCGCCGTTTGCGCTAGTGCAGAGCGGTGCAGCAGTGCGATCTGTCATCGGCTGTGCACCTTGGACACGGCCGATGACAGATCCGAGTACCGGCTCCCGTTGCTGGTACTATGTGACCTGCTGTGACCAATCACAGCAGGTCACATGACAGTTGTATACAATGGATGGCTTCATTCATGATGCCATCCATTGTATACTAGTGCCTAGCTGTGAATGGTCACAGCTAATCACATGCACATGTCATGTGATTAGCTGTGACCAAATCACAGCTAAGCACAAAAAAAAAAAAAAAAAAAAGCTGAATGAATCGATTTCATTCAGGTAAATGCTTGCTTATAGCAAAGTAATTCTTTGCTATAAGCAAATTGTGTAAAAAAAAAAAAAAAAAAATACTGATCACTTCCCCAAAGTAGTACAATGTTACTATGGTAACATTGTACTATTTTGGTCATAGTAAAATATGAAAAAAAATCTTTAAAAAAATTTAAAAAAATGTAATAAAAAATTAAATATAATAAAAAAATAAAAAAAAATTAAAAAAAAAAAAAATTTTTTTTTTCATACTGTCACCAGTCAGTGTCCCTGTTCACCGCCATGCCAGTTATATGATGACGCTGTATTGCACTGGTGACAGTATGTAAAAAAAAAAATAGTGAAAATAATTTTTTTCATTTTTTCATTTTCCGAAAAATTATGACAAAAAAATACAACTTCAAAAAACTCGCCATTCCTCTTATGAAGTACGTCGGACTGTCTACTCTGCAAAAAGGGGTCATTTTGGGATATCTGTACTGTTCTGACATTCTTGGACCTCAAGAAATTAGATTGGCCGTCAGTACTTCAGGATTGATCAATTTTCAGATCTATACCATAGTTTGTGAACTCTATAACTTTCCTAAAAACTAAAAAATGCATCCTAATTTGGGTTATTTTCACCAAAGACATGTAGCAGAATACATCTCGGCCTAAATTTATGAAGAACAATTATTTATTTGTAAACTTTTATAACAGAAACAAAGAAAAATGTGTTTTTTTTTCAAAATTTTTGGTCTTTTTTTGTTAATTTAGCAAAAAATAAAAACCCCAGTGGTGATTAAATACCACCAAAAGAAAGCTCTAGTTGTGTGAAGAAAATGATAAAATTTTAGTTTGGGTACAGTGTTGTATGACCGCGCAACTGTCATTCAAAGTGTGAGAGCGCTGAAACCTGAAAAATGGCCTGGGCAGGAAGGTGTAAAATTGCCCGGTATTGAAACGGTTAATATTGGTGTGTCTTGGTCCTGTCTGATTTTATGTATTGTGTGTAGTTTTGAAATGTTGAGTTGGGTAGGCAGGGGGTCTCCAAAAGGTTACAATCCCCAGTTTATGGCACGCTATGTGTTCCTAGTTCTTTAATTGCCCTGCAAACAATGGGTAACAGAACTGAAGGATTCTGTCCTAGTTTTACAATAGTTCAGAGAGAAGTGTTAATCTGTAGATTTTCTTATGGTCAGTAGAAACCAACAGACAACCTGCCAGGACTTCAATTCGCTGTGTACAGCTCTGACAAAGGCTTGTGTGCTGTTGTCTGCCGTCCCTAAATTGAGATAACAGGCTCTTTTGAAGTGTGTTAAAAGTTAAGACTAGGAATACATGGATGGCAGGAGAAGGGAGGGGTAATATTACAGGGTTTTGCCTCTTCTCATGACAAAAATGGCTGAGACCTAAACAAGATGGATGTCACCTACAACTTTCATGTGCCTAATGAGCACAACCATTACAATTATAGCATGAACAAAGAAATGGTTAGCAGGTAGATGGATGACTGACTTACTGTTCTGCATCTTCAAGCAGAACCCAGTACTTCCTCTAATGGGGCACACATATTCAAAATATGTATGGTGACTTTCAGATATGCTCTCCAGGAAAGTTTTAACTCAGCAACACGATGATAAAATGTTCATATAAAAACCATATTATTTATTATTACAAAAGTTTTTTTTAAATGAACAGTTTACAGATAAAAAGAGTGATGGAGTGCAAAATATGCATTATAAAGGTTGTATAT